AAATTTTAATTTGATTTGATTGGTCAATAGTCACGCATAGATCTACATAAATTAGCCAATCACATAAATGTTATAACCCGTGATTTTCCGTCAAAATGCGAGTTTTCTCTATGCTTAAAATTAATTAAAAATCTAATATCAGATATCTGATATCTGATATGTACGTACGTACCATATAAGCGATGCATATCAGATATAGTACCATGCGTGGCAAATAATTTAGATCAATTTTTAGATCAATTTTTTAAAATATTATTTATACGATTATGTGATATAAAATGGTGATTTTTAATTTTTCACTAAAAAATCGGATACGCTATACGTAACCGAATAATCAGACGACGTTGTGTACGTTTCCTTGTAGTGCTTATTAGGAGGAGTACCTAAACGATACTCCAATCAAGTATAATAGTCAAGGAAATAAAACACTAGTAAAAGTTGAATTGCACGCGTGGGTTAGAAAACTTTCGTATTCCAAATCGACCGCATATCCCAATACTGCCTATTCGAGAACCGCGCGCAAGTTCCGCGCAATAGGCGCAGCGTACATAGATTTAAATTTGCGCATATATCAACGCTCTCCGTATATATAAAGCGCGTATAAATTTCTTTTTTGTGCATATTTTTTTTGCGTTTGCGCTAATAAAAATTTTTTGAATTTATAACACTGACCGTGCGGCACTATTGTTTGACAACGAGTACAACGAAGAGAGAATATACTAACTGCACCATCGTCCCTAGGTTTATGGTGTCGAATCATAAAGTCTCTCCCAAGTCACAACACTATTCACAGGTTTGTATTTATACTATCGTATTATTTTTTTTCTTTCATGCTTATTGTCCGGATCTCAGATTCGAACTGAATTTTTCGGTAATATCGAATTGAACTCCACCCTCGAAAATTTGTCACCCATAATTCTCGCCGTCACGATTATTCAAACCGGTTCACCCGATTTCATATTATTGACGGGTGATCCGGGTGATGTTTTTACTGAACTCTAATAGTTAGAGATGTAAACTACTATATAGTTCGGTTTGCTGCTTACGTTAGCCAGGCTGAACCGACTCTTAGGCCGAACTTATTTTGACTTTAATTAAAGAAAGTATCAAATATTAATTTTAGGCCATTGCATTATTAGATGTTACAATTAAATGTCCAAAGCAAATAGTTTTTTTTTTTTAAAAAAAAGACAAGATTAAACTTGTATTTTGTTATTACATGTTTTCATGTACTTGTTGTCATATGCTTTTATGAATTTATGCAAAGTAATAGCATAAGCAAGGGGGCATTTTACGTGCTTACAAGAGACATATAGGCTACTAAAAATAGTGATAAGTACCGACTTTAGAGTGCCTAGGATTAAATTTATCATATGAATATTAGAATAATTCGACACTTACGTGTCAAACAAATTATGATCCTGAACACTCTACCCGATTTCCATACTATATACCAAGTGTATAATCACTTAGGTACAATGTTTCAATATTATAACTAGTTTTATATTCAGTTGTGATAATAGGTCAATCAGAAATATTTGTATTTCTGCAGAAATTTTATTTAATATTCTGTTCAAGTCTTTTTACAATATTAAAACCAAATCATCTAATATACCCATCAAAACTATGAATAAACATGAGACGTTCCTCTAGTACCTCAGTTTTTTTCTCTTTCAATCCATCATTTTCTACAATCTGAAATACCTCATAATCATCAGCAATAAAATTTGACCTACCCGGTAATATTTCATGATTGTAACTAGTCTTTCTACAATTCCAACTCTGATCTACCATATGTAAATCGTTTTGACCAAAACACGGGCCATAACTATGAGAAAAATAAACAGCCTCATCATCCAATGATTCATGTAATCTTGACAAAGTTGCCATTGTCGGGTTAAGAGTATCATTAAATGAAAATATAAACGAATCCGAAGTTGAGCCAAACTTTTTGAAAGATTTATGAGGACCAACAGATGTACCATGAGAATTTTCCGAAAAGTTCCATTTAATTGGATTATATCCACCAACAATTTGATTAGTTCCTTTAACTTTGGCCAATACCAAAGTACGTGCTACAGAATCACATCGATTGTGAAAAACATCGACACCAAAACCATCTTTACTAGCTCTAACCAAAAGGTTAAATTTATAAGGATTTTTTCTTTTAAGGTTTAATTTTGTATCTTTTCTATCGATCCAATTTGATATTAAAGTAGCATGACGACCATCAATGAGAACGGAATCGATTGGACCGGAAGTAATATTCCTAGGTAAAAAAACATTATGAACTCTACTTTCAGGATCCAAATAAAATTGAAGAATTTGTTCTTCAATTAAAGAAGGAAGTAATTTTCTAAATGGTTTACGAACTTTGTGAAAGAAATCACCCGAAGAAATATGAGCAAATCTAATTAAAGGAATACATCTATGTAAAGTAAATTCCAAATCCTCAAAATCTTTATCAGACCAATTCAATACGTTATCATGTAATTTTGTTTGAGGAGTATTAGCAATACCCCATTTAATTACATGATCCCAAATTTTAATTTCATCCCAATTTAAATCATCTCTTTTTAATAAATAAAGTAAAACAGATTCTTCAAGATTTAAAAAATCTTTAGATTCGAATAGAATTTGTGGAGAAGCACAAACGGTTTTTAAAGTATAATCACGAAGTTTTCCAAAAGTACCATGATGACATACTATATGAAGAATTGGTACTAAAGTTTGATTTATCCATTCAGATTGGGTTTTGATTAAATGATCCTGAGCATGAGTGATTAAAATTGGAAGTTGTAATTCATCACTGGCTAGCATTAATCGTAATAAATCGGCACCATCGAGTTGATCCAATTCTATTATTCCACTATATATATACCTATAAGAATTCAAAATGGATATTTTTGAGTTAGAATTAGTATGCATGTTTACGTATAAGCATGTAGTTTAGATTTTTTTATAATAACGATAATATATACTTTAATATTATTTCAAAAATTCCAGAGGGAATATTTGGTTTTTTGAATACTATAAGATCACCAGATTTTCTAGGCCAATCATTTGATAAAGCTGATCTAAAATATCCAGATCGAGCACGAAGCAATACCGAATGAGCTTTAAATTCTTTATAGTTTGTTGGATCACCAGCTTGGACAATTACGTTATAATCTTCTGCTTTATTCAGTAATTCAAATAAATCATTTGAAAGTTCTTGCAAAAATGTTGATTTCATTTTTTTTTTTTTCTTTTTTGATGAAAAGAGTAGATCGAATGTTTGTTAGAAAAACTAATTTTTTTGATATACAGTATATCGATACTTATTTATAAGTATATAGATTTAAATTTAACCAATTATATTTTGTCAATCTAACATTGATCACGCTTTTTACATACGCAGTAAAATAACTACTATTATCGATATATACTGTATGTACGTATAGTACATACATATTTACATAAAGTGAAAGTGAATAAGGGTAAAAAAAGCAATTACTGACGTACGAACGTACCTACCTACCTAGCTTTATGTTACATGACGGGAAACTTTAATGAATGCCTTGAACATACGTAGTGAATTTGATATTTCATCAATTCACCAAAATTAATTTAAAATCAATTTCACATGTAACAAAGAAATTTAATGTGCGGTTACCCACATTAATATCTTGATAAGCCAAATTTATTATTTTTAATTAGCCAACATGAATAATACGTATTGCAGAATTAATTATAAAATTATAGATGTAAAGATGCAAAGTTGCGCCTAACCCATTATTTCGAAACAAAATCATCAATGAAATGCAAGATTTAGCGGACTTTTATTTTATTCTCTCATTTCGATGGAATCATATTCGATATAATACTGTAATATGAAGGTATAGTCTATCAAAAAGAATAATGGTTTTATAAAGTAGAATTATCATGCAACTAAAATAAAAATTGATCAGTTCAGTTTACTTGATCTCTCATTTGTACGAATTTTAAGGCATTAAGATAACTAAGAAACAAATTGAATAATCGCGATGCTATGTAATCGAAGGATTAACTAGACTAATAATTTACTATATAAATTTATCGAACATCGGTTAAATGCGCATTATCAAACATTTTCAAAGAGCAAAAAATATTGAGACAATACATACAAGCATATGCATTGCATTTAGTCAAATTTCTTCTGAAAAAAGAAAAATCAAACGTTTTCAGTGGCGTACGTATTGCGTATAACTTCGCGTAATTACCAAACTTGATGCTATGTATGATCATCTGAATGTATATTTAATTTGCGATATTGTATAAATAAAAAAAAAAAGGCATGTACGTACGTGCATGTATTCATTTTGCAAAATTTTCTAAAAGGATCCATTTGGAGTGGTTACGTATATAAGGCTTTTTTGTATCGGAAGCAGGGGCCCTGTGGATTTTTATAGTTTTCTGCGATCTTTAGGAATATGTACGTACATATAAATTCTTTAAATGTATATTCCTTAGAAACACTGTAAATCGCGATCCCTGATCAGGAGTGACGAGGATCGGTGCTGGCCTGTTCGTTACGTTTTTTCATGTGATTTGAATATTTAATGAGGTTTCAGCTTTTATTTAATCTTTTCGATAATCCAATTACTGGATTAGTGTCTGTTCACCAACCAAATCCTTAAGGAAATAAGTACGTACGGTGCAAGAAATCTAAAAACCACAATCTCCTTATAGAGACTGTATTTCTAAATTATTAACATCAATAATGTGTGTACATAATATTTTATTGAAGTCGTCTCTCCAGAGTTAATGTGACGTATAATTAAGTAGACATAATTAAGTATATAGCATATTTGAAGTCAAATATTTCTTAAATTATCGACTCTAATAAAGCATTTATATAAACGCTTTATTGATGCTACGTACGTACGTACGTACTTATTTCTACTTTATAAGGAGTGATTATGGTTTTAGACTCCTTGCATTGTTTCATTGATGCTAATAATTTAGGGAATACAACATTTGGTTTCAATATGCAGCTTTTTATCCTTTGTCTCTGTAAGGAGATTGACACCTTAATAAATAATCAATTGATTTAAAGTAGGTGTCACCTATATTATATTTTATCCGGAGATTGTATTTCTTGCACCGTAATTATTTACAGCTATTGGGCAATGAAAAACAGTTCAAAAGGAAAGGATGAGCATACTCATCGATCTCAAAAATTACTCATTTTGGTGGGTTGCATATTTGTAGTCCTTTTCTTGCAAGACGAGTTACAAAATATATTGCACGTTTTTAAATGATAAAACTTGGTAAATGTAGCAATGTAACGGTATATAAAAACGAACTAGATTTCATTCACACATATGTCAATAAAATAGTTTTTATTACGGATTTCTTCGAAAGCCATTATAATAGTTAGACCATTATATTATAACGAAGGTCATAAACTAAAATTCATACGACTGGATGAACAATAAAGTTGGTATCTTCGAAATAAATTAGTCAGTCAGAAAAATATTCAATACATATATGATTTAAATAATTAAAATAGACATTTGTAGGCATTATTTAAGACTTAATATAGCTGGGCTACCTTATAGTCGCGAGATAACGCGTTAATTTATCAACCACGTTACATCGAGATGTGCTATTTCGAAATAAAGGGGCCAAACTGGCTTTAAGTTTAATATATCATCTCTGGGCCCGGAATGGTACATTGAATGTATGTTTGATAAGTTATCGTTATTGACGCGTAGCATTCTACCCTGATCGGGCCATCAGAATAACTTGAATTATTTTGACAGTAATTACGTTACCACTAAATAACCTTATTCCAACCCTATTCTATCAATATTTACTATTAGAAATTTTCAACTGAAAATCTCTGAAATGTTCTGAAATCTCACTAAGGGAAAAAAATCTGTAGCGCAAGCAAACCATTGAATTTTTGAATTTGATCATTATTACGTATCATTCGGTTCTTTGATCGCATATGTCTTTAATATTTACTTAAGGATTCGTGCTTTAATTGAATGAAATTACAAATCAAATTTCACTATATGTAAATAGTATGAATAACATGATAATAAACGAAATAAAGTATGAATAATAATAATAATAATAAGCTAATGAACTTACTAAAGACAAAAAAGCAAACATGGCTTAAATATTGCTTTAATGTTAAGAAATTATTAACAATCCAATTAGAAATGGTTTTGAGACCAGTCCAGCTGTTCTTCATAAATACATATTTAAAAATTACTAATTAAATTGATTTAGCGTTGACGTCACATTAGAAAAAGTACATAATCACTTGTTCAATTATTGATGTCATATAATTTAAGTATTCGTATTCCTGCTATAGGATTTAGACCCAAAAACACTAAGGACTGAACTTTTCAAAGACTGATACGGACTGGATCGGACTGATTCGGGCGGATCCACCCCTAAATACAACATAATAGTATTTAACTGCACTTTTTTAACGTACCCTTCTCCATAGTCTTCATAGTTTTTTACTAAATGATTATACAAAACTTCAAGACTTTTATAAACGTCTTCGTTATCCGTAGCACATTTTTCATCTATAAGGAATTTGAACTGTTTTGCCTTAACTGTTTTCTGGATTGAAGTGAATATTTCGAGAAACTTGTGGAATGCTTTCTTATTAGTAAGGAGCTTGTCACATATTTCAAAAACCACCATAGATAGAAGTTTTTCATCACTTTTGTTGTTATCACTACCTTTTTTATCATTATTATCTTTGTCATCATTACTGCCTTTGTCATCATTATTACCTTTGTCATCATCACCGCCAATCCTAACGAAAGAATTTAATTCAGCACGTCCCTCGGGATCTGACTCCAATGTTTTCATTATCAATGTTGACAAAAAACCTATAAGTGAGCCACCCCCAGCGCCTGTTGCGATAGTTGCACCTAAGCTTAATCCAGCCGCACCAATTGATTGCAGAATAGCTACGAGACTACCTGCAGCAGTGGCACCACCTTGCAATGACATCATCCATGCAGCAAATGATCCGGCTACGATACCACCCGAACCGAATCCGATCGCCTGTACCAAACCAACAAACACTATCGGTACAAGTACAACTCCACCAATAGTTAATGCAGAGACAGTTAAAATATTTTTGTTGTTGACAACGAATCTTTTTGCTTCTTCTACAAAGGTTTGAGATGATGGTGATAGTGATGGCGATGCCGATGGTGATGGCGATGATGGTGATGGTGATGATGGTGGTGGTGTAGGTGGGAAGGATATATATCCCTCTTTTTTAAAAGAATCAAGAAGAGCTGCTTCAAAGATTTTCGAGTCTGAAATCTGTCTCATTTTGTTTTTTTTAATGTATAAAGGTAGTTGTTGCACTGTAGAGCGATCAGGATACTATATACTATTTACAACGTTTGCGAAAAAGAATTGGTTCATTTGCAAAGCATGTATGTCCTTTTTTAATTTGTGGATTATAAAAACAAATCACAAGCGCGAAATAATTGTGATACAATCTAAAAAGGAAAAGGCTTTGTATCGGCATGATCATACCGAACCAGCTGCCAGTGTATAAAATCAATGTGCACAATATGCTCATGTGCACATGTTTTTTGTAAAGTTAAATATAAATTTTTAACTTGTGCACATTGTGCACACTTTTGTACTCATATTTTGTAATTGCTCATATTTTGTAATTTAGATTTTATACACTGCTCTACCTGTCAAAACCGATATGCATGGTGGATGGATTTGAAAGGTCATCGGATTTAAAAAAAAAACTAATACGTTTTAATGAATCTACTAGTCACATAATTGTGGTTCAACATGATTGGCTAAATAATATTCAATCTTGCAACATAATTGGCTAGATCAAAATATCGAATTTACCAGATATATAACAACTAATGGACATATTTTTTTGAACATCAGTTATCAGAAATGGTAAGTTATTAGATTTAGATTATGGAACGAGCATGGCGAACCAATTTTTTATCAGTTATGGGAAGTTATCGGTTTTGACAGGGTGAACTGTATATGCATTCCCCTTTTTATGTTCGGCGAAGCTCTATCATCGTACTCGCATAAGAGTCATCTGTATAACATCTATTAGTCGGATCTACGAATCAATCATTTGGCAATTGAACCAATCAGTCAACCAGATGCAAGTTACTTAACTGTGCGCTTATGAAAGATTACTGTATATACAAAGTCAAGATATAATATTCAGCCGTCTTTCTTTACCCTGAACTGCTTGTTCTAGAGATTTTTGTTTGTTATAAAGAGAGTTCATTATACGATTAAATCTATTTATACTGGACATGTATAAAATATTCGATATAATAACTTGACCAATAATATATATATGAGCGTTACAGAGAAAAACCTGTAACTGCACATAGTAAATCATTAAGTCATATATGATTAAACAAAATATTTCTATTTCATCTGATGTTCTGAATACAAACTTTCGCTTGTGTATATAAGGAATTTCCAGTGTTGTAAAATTTAATAGTCAACAAAAAGTTTGAACAGTCTGTCAAATTGGTCCAGTTACACAAACTAAGTGGACCAATCAGACCAATAAAGAGGCCTGATTGGTCCAATTAAATTGGTCATGTGGTCTAGTTACACAAACTATGCTGACCAATCAGACCAAATTGGTCCAATTGGAATGATCGGTCAACATTAGCGTTAGGGTTCTGCAAACCCGGCACATGTCTGTACAAAAAAAAAGTCTAAGGCATGGGCCTAACTTGATTTTAAAATTTGGTGCACAAGCACAATATGCAATAAAGTAGTACTTAGATAGGCATCGGCGCTAGCATTGGCACCCCAGCATTGTGCTAACAATACAGTCATCTTCCTACACAATCACACAGTTGGGCACATAATAATTTTTTTTATAAATGTGCTTATAAAGAAGTTGCGTTTGTTAGAGGTTTTTCTTATAAATTAAATCATAGTTTGCCTAAACGTAAATGTGATTACACATGATGTGATTAAATAGGTGACTATATGGAGGGACGATTATACCAGGCATAAGATTTATTAACAGTTAACGATTGGTCATATATGCAACAAATGATAGCTACGTAACTAAAATCATGTATGGGCCTCTATTACTTACAAATCGAATTCTAGTAACTTCTAACGTTACACGGAATTGTATTTATATTGTACTAATCGTGCACATAGATTACTAGTTTGTACGTACGTACGTACGTACGTACGTAACTTATGCGGTGACAAATCACCACATTGTGGTTTAAAGCGGTGGTTTGTTCATATTTTCCATGAGAGCTTCCGAAAACAATCCAATATTCACTTCGAATGCATGTTATTGTCCGGAGCGTAGCGGAGGACTTACATTTTCAGGAATATATATATCACGTAATCAATACTAGAGGCCATTGGCATCATTGTCTGTCTGTCCGACCACGTGATTAATTAATATAATAAAATCATTACATTTGATTGGATGTTACAATATTGATCTTTTTTATCGCCCGGACTTACAACCAGTGTTTAAAATTCAAATTTAATTTTATGTTCTCAAAAAAGCATTTTTTGAATTCTTAATGTTCTCAAAAATTTTTTGATGTTCTCAAAATTAGAAAGTTAAAATTTTTTAATATTAAAAAAAATTGTTAAATGTTTCTACTATAGCTATTTTCTTAAAAACAGTAAAAAGTTTTTCAAATTTTAACTAAAATTTCTTGTTAATTTTTTAATAGAATTTAATAAAATATTTTTTAATGAATTTTAATTAACATGCTAATGAAATTATTTTAGGTCTAAAACCTGAAATTAAAATTTGAAGATGAAATTGTTTTTGATTTATTTTACTTAAAAGATGAAATTTTTTGACATTTTTTTTGAAGAGAAAATTATAAGAAATATAACTACAGTACCGGACAGCAAGAAACATCCAATTTTTTTAAAAAGTGCCAAATTTTGAGATTAATACTCAAATCTGATTGGTTATTTTTGTGTAACAAGATTCTGATTGGTTAAAAATCTATAAAAACAATTTTTTTATATATTAAATGCCAAATTTTTGG